CACCCTAAACACTGGCCCCGGGGTGTGACCGTTTTTTTGTGCTTTCGTTATTGTTGAACAAGTGGAGGAGTTATATAAGGTTAAGGCATGGAGGAGGAGAAGGAGGAGGAGGAGGAGGACCAGTGTAAACCAAAGAGTCATCAACGATGTTGGAATTGACCCTCCCTCCAATCTCCCTCTTCCGAGGCCCCTAAAAGGTTAATTTCCATTGAGGGAAGTGCTTCGTTTGAAGACAACCGTTTGAAAACCTTGACGCATGCCAAAACATTGTTCTCCGGATTTCCACGCCACGGATTAACCTGACGGCTGCGTCCAGACGATTTGGAATCGTGCCAGAAAACCATTTTGGGACTGCAGCATTACGAATCTCATCACTGTTGCGCCCGCATAATCCAGGCTCCTCCAAAAAGATCATATCTGGTACGTTGAGCACAGGAATCCGTGAAATTCTTACAAACTTGAAAAGGAATGTCCGCGGCTCACAGGCGAGAACCACATTTTGAAAACCACTCGTCCTCAATCCGTGAAGCTCTTGCAATTTTTGAAAACGAATGTGCGCGGCGTTGAGGCGAAAACCGCATTTTGAAAACCACCCTCCCTCAATCCGTGAAGCTGATGCAATTTGTTACAACGAATGTGTGCGGTGCTTAGGCGAGAGCCGCATTTTGGAAACCACCCGCCCTCGATATGTAAGGAAGTCTCAGGCGGAACGCCCGCCCCGCCCTAAAAATTGGTTTCGGGGTGCGACAGGGACAAAATCGTTTATAAGGATAATGCATGGAAGAAGAGGAGGAGGAAGAAACACAATAATAAGATGAAGAAGAGGATTACTACTAATACTAATAATGTTAATAATAAAAGTTATCATAAGAAGAATCATTAGAATAATGCTACTAATAACAGGAGTGATACTACTACTAATATCGTTCATAGTAATAAGAATAATAAGAAACGTGAGAATGACAAGAACAATACTGCGAGTCATAATATTAATACGAACGCTAATGAACATACGAGTACTCAACATACGAATGATAAGACGAATAATATTAAGTAGAAGAAGAATACGAAGACACATTAAACGACTAATACTACATACTAGTAATGCTGACGATGATGAGGATGACGCTAATGATGATGCTGATATTATTATTTTTAACATCGTTATTTTTTATTAATAATAATGTTCACACTGATGTTGCTAATTCAACTGCTACTAATAATGGTAACAATAACGAAAGCAGTAAAATAGTACCAACGACAGCACCAAAAATACTGATACTGATAACACTGGGACGTAACAACAGAAGACGACTCATACGAATCATCATAATACTGATTATACCACGAATAATAATACGAATGCGAACGTGACGAATAAGCATACTAATAGTTATAATACTAAAACTAATAATACTATCAACAAGATGCAACATAATAATGATGATCGTACTACTAGTAGTAGTAGTAGTAGTAGTAGTAGTAGTAGTAGTAGTAGTAGTAGTAGTAGTAGTAATAGTAGTAGTCGTAGTAGTAGTAGTAGTAGTAGTAGTAGTAGTAGTAGTAGTAGTAGTAGTAGTAAAAATAATAATAATGATAATACTAATATTAATAATATTAACAATAATAATAATACTAATAATAATAATAATAATACTTATACTGATACTAACACTATTAATACTACGACTAATACTGATAATGATGCTGCTGATAGTAATAATAATATTCCTAGTCACAAGAATACTAATTCCAATAATACCAATACTAACATCAATCGTACGACGAATCATGCTACGACGAAGAAGATGAGGAGAAGGAGGAGGAGGAGGTGGTGGAGGACGAGGACAAGGGGGATGGGGGAAGATGAGGAGGAGGAGCAGGAGGAGGAGGAGGAGGAGGAGGAATATGAGGAGGAAAAGGAGGAGGTGGAGGAGGAGGAGGAGAGGAGGAGGAGGGAGGAGGAGGGAGGAGGAGGGAGGAGGAGGAGGAGGAAGGAGGCGGAGGAGGAGGAGGAGGGGAGGAGGAGGACGAGGCGGAGGCGGAGGCGGAGGCGAGGCGGAGGCGGAGGAGGAGGAGGAGGGGGAGGGGAGCGGGAGGAGGAGGAGGAGGAGGAGGAGGAGGAGAGAGGAGGAGGAGGAGGAGGGGAGGAGGGGGGAGGAGGGGAGGAGGAGGACGAGGGCGAGGAGGAGGAGGAGGCGGAGGAGGACGAGGATGGGGAGGAGGAGAGGGAGGAGGAGAGCAGGAGGAGGAGGAGGTGAAGGAGGAGGAGGAGGAGGAGGCGGAAGAGGAGGAGGATGAGGCGGAGGAGGCGATGGAGATGGAGGAGGAGGAGGAAACGGATATGGAGACGGAGATGGAGATAAAGATGGGGATGGAGGAGGAGGAGGCGGAGGAAGCGGAGGAGGAGAAGGAGGATGAAAAGGAGGAGGAGGAGGAGGAAGAGGAGGAGGTAGAAGATTTTCCAAACCGCCCTGCGCTCGCAACATATAATCCTCCAAATTATGATTGTTCGTCCTGGATGGGGTAGGAGTAGGATCGGAGGGGGACGATGGCCATGCATCCGACGCGGTAACTAACTTTTTGAAGCCAACGCGACGCTCTAAACTTCCGACCCCGTCTCCAGACTGGGCTTCCTGAGCCAGGTCGATCGAGGGTGCCGCGGCACGAAGTGTGCGAGACGGTTGTTGTGATGTTTTGACGATGCCTGGATGCAAAGGACCCCCTTGCACTATTTCTCTCTCTGGCGCCCCTTGTGCCCAATTCGGCCCCGTCGTATCCCACGGCTGCCCCCGAACGCGGCGAGGGTTCGCGCTGCTGCCGACCCCCAAACGCAGAGTAAAGGACCCCCTTGCCGCCCGCTCTCGAGAGAAAGGTCCCCAGAGCCTGAGAGCCTGCTCTCGAAGCTGGTCCCCAGCGCCCCCCGGGGGAGCCGTCCTGGCCCGCTCTGCGAGGTGCCGTTCCGCTTCGGCGACAGGTGGCGCCTCTGGGAGCCGAGAAGCAGGCTTGGCATCGCTCGGGCGTCTTGGGTTTCTTCGGCGAGTGCCATCGAGGGTCACGGGTCACTTTGGGGCATCTTGCGAACCAGAAGCGCGCGAAGCCGAAACGTGCACCAGGAGTGAACGCCCGAACGATGGCAAGCAGGGAGGACCATCGCACGGCTTCAAAGAAGGGCTCGAGGCCAGGTCTTGGCCAATTCGTGTGGCCTTTCGAGCGCTTCACTTGGGGTGGCGACCCTGGACCGCCTTTTTGACTGGGATTCGGGCCTTTTCTTTGAGGCCTTGGGGTGCCTTCCAGAACAAAACCCGTCCCACGACCCAGCCGAAAGCTTTGAGCACAACGCGCTGGGGCATCTCATCTGGAGGCCTTTGAGCGTACACTTCGTGTGCTTACCGCATTCGTTGCGTGCGACGATGAAGCTGTCGTCGGCCAGTCGATCGAATATCTGAAGCCTGTGGTCACTTGGCTTACGGGCGAGCCTGGCCAGGGAAGCACCATGGCCTGCACGGCCCTCTTTCTTCTCCAGTGGAGGCCCATGCCAAGAAACACCCTGCTTGCCTCCAGGGCGCCCTGGGCTTCTTGGGTTTCGATGGTTTTGCCACGGAAGGCGTGACGTTCCCACACCAAAAATCGATGGATGTCCTGGGGTCTCAGGGTTGGGTTTCTTGTGGAAGGTTTCTTGTGGGCAAGCCTCCACCGTATCGTTGTTCGTTTTGTATGGCGTGCATCGCGAGCAGTTCGTTGAGGTGTCCACGATATAGCCTTTCCGAAAAGGACCGTATCCACATCCGAGTAACTGTTGCAACGCTTACACGTGTGGCCATGATCTTCGAGTGGTTCTAAAGCGACGACTCCATATCGAAAGAGAATCCGCCCTCGATCGGAGCAGTGCTACATGTGTTGAACCATCGGGTCTTCAAGTTTCCTGGTTCCTCCATCCACCGAAGCTGCTGCAAACGTTTAACTGAATGGGCGTGGCGCTAAGGCGAGGGCGGAGGAGAAGGAGGAGAAGGAGGAGGAGGAGTAGGAGGAGGAGAAGGAGGAAGGGCAGGAACGAGTCTCACTCCGTGCCCGATGCGGAGCATCGGGACCCGTTCCGCACTGTCCGAGCCCTCCTGGCCTAATCTCAGCCTTCTCGGGCTCTGCTCGGCCCGGAGAGGAAGTACAACTGCATAGACCTTACTGGCCGGACGGCGGCTGCCGAGTGTGCCCAGAAGTGCAAGGAGGCGGCGGCCGCGGCGTACTAGCGCAGGAGAAGAAGGAGAAGGAGGAGGAGGAGGCGGAGGAGGAGGAGGAGGAGGAGGAGGAGGAGGAGCAGGAGGAGCAGGAGGAGCAGGAGGAGGGGGAAAAGGTTCGGATGCTGATGATGATGATGATGATGCTGATGATGATGATGATGATGATGATGATGATGATGATGATGATGATGATGATGATGATGATGCTGATGATGATGATGACGATGATGATGGTGGTTGTGATGCTGGTGAGGGTTATGATGGTGGTGATGATGATGTGGTGATGATGATGATGCGATGTGGTGGTGGTGGTGGTGATGCTGATGCTGATGCTGATGATGCTGATGCTGATGTGATGATGCGATGATGATGCTGATGATGATGATGATGATGATGATTCTGATGCTGATGATGATGATGCTGATGATGCTGATTGGGATGCTGATGCGTATGATGATGATGACGGGGATGATGATGATGATGATGATGATGATGATGATGATGATGATGATGATGATGATGATGATGATGATGATGATGATGATGATGCCGATAGTGATGCAGATGCTGCTGATGATGATGCCGATGTTGATTCTGATGCTAATGCTGATGATGATGACGACAATGCTGCTGCTGCTGATGATGATCATGATGATAATGATACTGATGATGCGGCTGCTGCTGATGCTGCTGCTCATGATGATGATGATGATGATGATGATGATGATGATGATGATGATGATGATGATGGTGAGTGTGTTGATGATGATGATGCTACAGCTGATGGGGACGATGATGATAATGATGAAGACGACGACGATGACGATTACGATGACGATGACGATGCTGGTGATGATGATGATGCTGCTGATGATGATGATGATGGTGGTGGTGGTGGTGGTGGTTGTGATGATGATGCTGATGCTGCTGATGATGATGATGCTACTGATGATGATGCTGATGATGATGCTGATGATGATGCTGATGATGCTGATGATGATGCTGATGATGATGATGATGCTGATGCTGCTGATGACGATGATGCTGATGATGATGATGCTGCTGATGACGATGTCGATCGTGATGCAGATGCTGCTGATGATGCTGATGATGCTGATGCTGATGATGCTGATGCTGATGATGATGATGATGATGATGATGCTCAATGATGATGATTCTGATGCTGATGCTGATGATGATGATGATGATGATGATGATGATGCTGATGCTGCTGCTGCTGATGATGATGATGATGATGATGATGCTGATGCTGATTCTGATGCTGATGCTGATGATGATGATGCTGATGATGATGATGATGATGATGATGATGATGATGATGCTGATGATGATGATGATGATGCTGATGATGATGATGATGATGATGATGATGGTGGTGGTGGTGGTGGTGGTGGTGATGATGATGATGAGGAGGAGGAGGAGGAGCAGGAGGAGCAGGAAGAGGAGGTATGGAGGAGGAGGAGGAGGAGGAAGGACGAGGAGGAGGAGGAGGAGGAGGAGGAGGATGAAGAGGAGGAGGAGGAGGAGGAGGAGGAGGAGGATCAGAGGGACCTGGTGATGCACAATCCATGCTGCAATGCACCCTTCCGCCCGAAGCCTCCTGTTCACAAGACCCCATGACGGATCCTCTCCACTTCTGGGAGCGGCCCCCTTGAATGATGCGCGCCCAGTTTGCCTGCCACTCAGGCGAGACCCCGTACTTATTGTAAAAGGTCCAGCGCCCATCTTCCCGCCTGGGCCGCGCCGAGACCTACTCTATGAAGTGCACATGTGGCTTCTGGCTTGAGTAGGGCCGAGGGTCAGAGAGCGCCTTCCTCTGCAGGACCACCCAAACAGGGACGCCACGGTTGTCAAACGCGTCGACGATCAAGCCGACGAGGAAGTGCAAGATCCAACCATTCGCTCATGTCCAAAATTTTTGGCTTGACGCTTGGTGTGGTACATGAATTTCAGCTTGGCCGAACAGGTTGGTTGCGCCCCTTGACGTCAGTTTGGGGGGTTCTGCAGACCTGACCCACCAGCCCTACTCAACTTCTGGAGAACCAATTTGTCACGTGGGTCTCCTGGCGTGCGGCTGGGTCTCCTGGCGTGCGGTGGATCTCCTGGCGTGCGGCGTCACGTGTGCATCCGAGGGTCTCCTGGCGTGCGGCTGGGGCCCCACGCAACGCGAGGCCCCGCCGCGCAGGCTGCGCGGAGGGGGGGGCCCGCGCCGAGAAACGCCCTGCCTGCCTCCAGGGTGCCCTGGGTTTCTTGGGTTTCGCTGCCTTCGCCGTGGGAAGCGTGGCGTTCCCACACAAAAAGAAGCAATGGGCGTCCCTTTGGTCTCAGGCTTGGCTTTCTCGTGGGCGGCTTCTTGTGCTCGGGCCTCCACTGTTAGATCCCCTCTGCTCAGGAACATGACCTTCCTCCTGACCAGAGGGCATCTGCGCAGCCTGCGCCCGGCGCGCCTCGCGGGCGCGCCCGGGCGCCCTGCGAGGCGCCCGCGGGCGACTGCGAGCCGCCCGCGAGCGAACGCGGGCGGCCGCCGGGCGAGAGCCTGCGTGCCCGGCTCGGATCTGCGCAGCCTTTTCTTTTTCCTCATATATCGGGGGCGGCAGAGAGGGGGGTGATGACGAGGGGGGGTGGATCTCATGGCGGGGGCCATGGTATATTTCCCCAGATGTCATGGCGCCTCTTCTTGTGCCATTGCGTCACGTCCCTGGTCCCCCCGCTGGGCCGCGCACGTGCCGCCGGTCATGATTTGCACCCCCCCTCTTGGACACCCCCCTCGTGGCCGCTCCCGAGGATAAGGACAGGTCGCATATGCGGAGGCCAAACTCTACCTCCTTGCATTTCATACATCGTCAGAGAAGGTCGACCAAGAGGCTCCAGTAACGATCTCGTGCATCTCAATCTGTTCCCTGTGCACGGGGCGCCCGCGGGAGCGCCCGCGGGGCGCCCGCGGGCCGCCCGCGCGGGGGTCGGCCGCGAGGGGCGCCCCGTGGGGGGCAGCGCCCGCCTGCGGGCGAGGCGCCCGCCGGGCGGCCATGGGCGCCGGAGGAGGACGAGGACGGGGAGGAGGACGAGGAGGAGGAAGCTTCCCCGCGCCTCCTCCTCCTCCTCCTCCTCCTCCTCCTCCTCCTCCTCCTCCTCCTCCTGCTTCGAGCGGGCGACGAGTCGTCGGAGGAGGAGCGGAGGTGCGGGCGATCAGAGGCGTAGTGTCCCCACTGCTGCTTTCAAGCAGTGGTGGGCGGAAGAGAACGCGGGTTGTCCGCCTGGGCCCGCGTCGGAGGAGCCGAGGTGCGGGCAATCAGAGGCGTAGATTCCCCACTGCTGCTTTGGAGCAGGTGTGGGCGGAAGAAGACGCAGGAGGTCCGCCTGGGCCCGCGTCGGAGGAGCGGGAATGCGAGCGCAATGGCGCGCGCGGTCGCGCGCGACCCGCCGCTGGTAATATCGTGAATGCGCGGGCGTCGCGGCGACGACGTCTTGCCGCAAGACGTGGCAATTGGGCGCGGAGGCCTAGCGTTGCGTCGTGTGGGGCTTCCGCCGACAGCAGGTGCTCGGGACTCGGGCGCGAGGGCTGCGGAGAAGTGCCAAGGAAGGCCTTCGCTCATGCTCGCTTCCCCCTCCTCCTCCTCCTCCTCCTCCTCCTCCTCCTCCTCCTCCTCGCTCGCCGCCGAGAGGAGGTACCAGTCAAGACGTTGCAATAGTCCTAGGCCTCCCAGATGGGGTCCGAGTAGATGGGTTCGGAGGATCGCGCATCGCCCATGCATCGGCGATGCGGCTCGACGCGGGGCCGACTTCCTCCGCGCCGTCGGTGCCGACGATGCACCGCTGACGTCGCCAGTGCATCGCCGATACTCACCGAGCGAGTTCCACTACTCGCAAAGTGCCTAGTTGCAAAGGTCCGAAACCACACATGTCTGCTCTGATGCCATTTATCTTAGATCCCCCGCGGGGGATCCAGGCCGTTTGCGAGCAGTCACCTTGCGAGTAGTGGAACGCGCTCGTCTAGATACGTCGGCGCTGCATCGCCGATGCATCGGGGATGCGGCGCGATCCTCCGACCTCCTCTTCTCCGACCCCTATGTACTTCGGAGGCCTCGAAATTAGGGCGCGGGAGCTGCCGAGAGGTCCCGCCGCCCTCTCGGGGGGGGCCTTGGCTCCTGCCCGTTCCCCGCCCCACCCCTGGCTCGCCGCCGAAGAGAGGTGCCGGGAGGGCGTTGGCCTAAGGAACGACGAATAAGGAACGAGGCCCTTTTTGCCCACGAGTTGAACTTCGATTTCCAGTGGAAGACCTGAGGAACACCGACGGCAAAGTGCATAACAATCAAGGACTACCGAGCCCTTCCCAGCGAAAGGGGTTCCTTTTGCAGCGCCCCGACTGTACAGTGGAGGCGCGCATCGAGAAACCAACTGCTTTTCGCCAGGGGTACCCCGGGTTTCTTCGATCCTCGCGCTGCGCGGTGACTTCCCACTGCCGTTCAGGAGCTGCTGCGTTCAGGGTGTTCGGGGTGTCCCTTCAGGGTGTACCTCGCGCGCGGGTTTTCAGGGTTAGGTTTCTTGCGAGGGTTTCTTGTCCTTTTTGGGTCTCCTGGGAGGTCCTTGTCGCCGCCGCCGCATTCGTCTAGAAATTTTGGTCAGAACACGACCCGTGATAGGTCCGGGGAGTAGCGGTATCGGTGCAATTTGGTTTCCCTAAACCCAGAAGCGCAATCCCGAGAACTCTCGATTGCAAGGCTTTTCTGGGGAAGAGAGGTTGCCTGGGCCAGGTGTTACAGTGGGCCGGGAATTGCCGAAGCGGATGTAGCTAGTGAGACAAAAGACGAGCGGGATTGCCGACCCGTGATTTTCCTGCTTGATGTTGAGTTCACAGACCCATTGCCGCGGGGCCCAGTAGTGCGCTGAATTGGAAGTCGGACGGCATAGGCGAGCGAGCTCCTTGACGGATCAGCGGCGCTGGGCTGAACGTGATCCCCGAAGCAGCGACAGTCGAGGTAATGAATGGATGCGCCCGTCCAGGGGTCGAGATGGGCAGCAGAGCTTGCCCTGTCATTCTGTTTGAGCGGTGGAATCGCCCAGGTGGGTGCCGCAGTCCCCTTCCTGGGGGCAGTGATCCCGACGGTCGGCCTCGACGACGAGCGGAGTCGAAAGAATATTGACTTTCTGGCCTTCGTTCGAGGGTTTCGCGCTTGCCAGAACCGATCGGGCTCCCATCGCCCATGGCCGAATGGCCATCGACAGCGTCGAGGATGGGGGCTTGGGCACCTTCCGTGCCAGTGCTGCTTCGATCTGAGGGCGTGGGACGCGCGACTGGACAGGCTCTCGCGCGGGGAGCCCGCGAGAGGTGGTCCGGTGCCGATCTTCCCGCGAGGAGTCTAGAGCGGCTCTCCTGGTGGGCGGCGGCTCAGGAGGGGAAAAAACACACACAGACACAATGAATCGTCGATCCCCCCGGAAAATATGAGAAAATATGGGGGGAGGCAAAAGCCCAGGAAATAGACGAAACTATGGGGGATCCTGTCATTTGTGTGCGTATTTATCTGTGTGTCCCGGGGCCCCTCCATCGGCGGAGTCTGTCTGAGCCCGCACGTGGCGTCGCGCCGGCGTGGGCGCCCCGAGGCCCGCGCAGGGAGAAGGGCAGCGGGCGGCACGGAGCGGAGGTGGTCCCGCCGAGCAGTGGCGGGCCAGAGCCGGTCGTCGGCGGGCGGCCTCCTCCTCCTCCCTCCTCCTCCTCCCTCCTCCTCCTCCTCCTCCTCCTCCTCCTCCTCCTCCTCCTCCTCCTCCTCCTCCTCCTCCTCCTCCTCCTCCTCCCCTCCTCTCCTCTTCCTCCTCCTCCTCCTCCTCCTCCTCCTCCTCCCTCCTCCTCTCTTCCTCCTCCTCCGCCCTCCTCCTCTCCTCCCTCCTCCCTCCTCCCTCCTCCCTCCTCCCTCCTCCGCCCTCCTCCCTCCTCCTCCTCCCTCCTCCCTCCTCCCTCCTCCCTCCTCCTCCTCCTCCTCCTCCTCCGCCTCCTCCTCCTCCTCCCTCCTCTCCTCCTCCTCCTCCTCCTCCCCTCCTCCTCCTCCTCCTCCCTCCCTCCCTCCCTCCCTCCCTCCCTCCTCCTCCTCCTCCTCCTCCTCCTCCTCCTCCTCCTCCAGCCCCTCCTCCTCCTCCTCCTCCTCCTCCTCCCTCCTCCCTCCTCCTCCTCCCTCCTCTCTCCTCCCTCCTCCCTCCTCCCTCTCCTCCTCCCTCCTCCTCCTCCGTCCTCCTCCTCCTCCTCCGCCTCCTCCTCCTCCTCCTCCTCCTCCTACTCCCTCCTCCCCCTCCTCCCTCCTCCCTCCTCCCTCCTCTCCCTCCTCCCTCCTCCCTCCTCCCTCCTCCTCCCTCCTCCCTCCTCCCTCCTCCCTCCCGTGGAGGAGGAAGGGCGAGGCTGCCCGAGCCTCGGCCTCCGTCGGGGGGATGCGCCGAGCCCGTGGCGTTGGCTCGGGCCACGCGCAGCCGTCGTCGCTTCGGGGTGCTTCTGGCCGAGCCGGAGGGGTCGAAGAGTTCCTGGCGCCAGGAGAGGAGGATTGGCTTATGTGTCGGGGGCGGAAAAGAGGGTGGTGATGACTAGGGGGGGGGGGATATCATGGCGGGGGCCATGATATTTCCCCAGATTTTATGGCGCCTCTTCTTATTGCGAAGGCCTTACGGCCGTTGCCGCCGACCCTGAAGATGACGAAAGACAACACGAGGGGGGGGCAGGAGGAGGAGGAGGAGGAGGAGGAGGTGGAAGGGAGTAGGAGGAGGAAGGGTGAAGGGGGAGGAGGAGGAGGCCTTATGGATGTTGGTTGGGATCTCGTGGTTGACCTCTCGGGGGCGTCTGGAAGGCAACTTGAAGCCTCTTGGGGGCCGTTGTGGGGCCTCTTGGGGCCTCTTTTGGGCCTCTTGGGGCTTCCGGAGGCCGTCTTCGGCGCATCTTGGGGGCGTCTTGGCGCCGCTCGGGGGCCTCTTGGGGCCTTTTGGGGGCCTCTTGGGGCTTCCCGGGGGCCTCTTAGGGCGGAAGTCTCGAATTCTCGGTTCCTCGTCCCCCTCTTGGCCGTTTCTTGGGCCCGTCTTGGGGCCCTATTGGGCCGTCTTGGGCGCCTCTTAGGCTGTCCTGGGGCCTTCTTGGGCCGTCTTGGGGCCCTCTTGTAGGCCTCTTGGGGGCTCTTGGGGGCCTCTTGGGGGCCTCTTGGGCCGTCTTGGAGTGTCGGAAAGCCGAAAAGGCGAGAAGGCCAAAATCATTCAAAAACCTATGTAAAATTGACGATTTTGGCGCCTGGGGCCCTCTTGGGTGTGCTCTTGGGGCTCTCTTGGAGCGTCTTGAGGGCCTCTTGGGCCGTCTTCGGGCCGTCTTGGGCGTCTTGGGGCCATCGTTCGTCGAGTCGAGGCCCTCTTGTACCCTTTTGGGGGTGTCTTCTGTCGCTCTTGGCTCGTCTTGAAGCTTTTCTGAGCTCCGGGACCCCCCGGGGAGGATGCGTATCTGGGTGGCGACCCCCCCCGGCGACCCCCCCCGGCGACCCCCCCCCCCCCCCACCCCCCGGCGGGGAGGGTAGGGAGGGGCTTCGCCACGACTCAACTACGACGTTGCTCAATGTCGCTTTGGCTCGCGCGCTCAAGGAGACGGGGAACGACGAAGACGACGAGGGACAACGGAGACGGAGACGACGAGGACACGACGGAGACGACGGAGACGACGACGACGACGGTGATCCACGCAAGACGACGACACCGGGATGCGTCTTCCACACGCCGACAGGGTCGGCGGATTTCATTACGTCCCTGGCCCCCCCGCTGGGCCGCGCACATGCCGCCAGTCATGATTTGCACCCCCCCTTCTTGGACACCCCCCTCTTTGCCGCTCCCGATGTGTGCGGTGTGTGATGAGCAAGGGGTGCCGAATCTTTGGGGTTGCCAGTGTACTCGCCCGAAGAGGGCGCAGCGACGTGGGGCAATTGGAAGTCACGTGTGTCGCGCTTCGACGAGCTTTCTTTTTTTCCTCCTTCCTCTTCTCCCTCCTTGTCCCCTGGTCCTCCTCTTTCCTCCTCCATCCTCTTTCCACCTCTGTTCACACTCTTTTCCTCCTCCTCCCTCATCCCTTCTTTCTCCTCGTCTTCTCATGTTCCTCTTCCTCCTCCTCTTCGAGGTGGTGGTCGCTCACTTCACCGGCCTCCCAAAGCCAGCCACCGCCGACGCGAAGTTCCTCGACATTGTCCGGAGGCCCTACTCTCCGATGCTGCACTGCTTCAACACGAACCACGGCTCTGGGCGGCGCGCAACATTCCTGATTCCTGCTGCTGATTCCTGATTTCTGAATCATTTTTGTCGATCCCTCTTGTCTGGCACGCGTTGGTTTTGAGCCGGGGGTGCCCCTCCTGCCCTGGGTCTCGCACCTCGTGTGGCCGCGAAGCGGCTTCTGGTTCAGCCTGCGCCGTTGGGCCCCCGGCTACAACAACCATGGCTCCCGCTTCTGCCTCAATGCAATTCCTTCACGACTCGCGCTCTCGCTCGAGATGTTCTTTCAACTTGCTCAGGAATCGTGTTATCGCCCCAGAACTCCATGTACTTCGTTAATAAGTCAGGCGTTGTGTGTCAACGCCTACTCCGAGTTTCTTGATAAGCGTTGGGGGGCATCACCCCCGCCGACAGCCCCACATCGACCCCCGTCGCGGGCAGCCACCGCGCGCCGAAGGCGCTCCGACCCCCGTCGCGGCGCGACGACGAGGCGAGGCTGACCCCCGTCGGGAGGGTACCCTCTGACGCTTATTAAGAAACCCAGAGTAGGAACCGCGCTCTCGCACGAGGCTTCCCTTCGTCGTCGTCGTCGTCGTTGTCGTCGTTTCGGTGGTCTTTGGGCGTTTGTTCTATGCGTTGCTTTGTTCGTGCTGTTTCGCCACGGGTCGGATGCTGCTCGAAGGGCCTGCCAGGATGCAGCCCTGGAGGGCTCCAGGGGCTTCCTCTGGGCGCCGCTCGGGTCGGGGCCGCGCGAGGCGGCGACCTCCTCGGGAGGTTTCGTGGCTCCCGCAAAGACTGATGGGCCTGCTCTCCACCACCACCACCATGAGTTGGAGGGGGGAGGGAGGTGGAGGATGAGGAGCAGAAAAAAGAGGAGGATGACCCCCTCCCCCCTCCAACTTCTGGTGGTGGTGGTGGTGGTGGTGGAAAAATTGGCCCCACAAAGACTCTCTCCGCCTCGCAGGAGCCTCCACGGAGGCCCCCCGTGCCAGTCGGAGAGGCCCCCCCCTGCCCTCGCATGCGTCCGGGCCTCTCGGTCCTCCTCTCCGCTCGCCGCCGAGGCTCGTGCGGCGCCTGGTCGGAGTATTACTGCGACGTCCGCCAGAACAGGCGGGCGCTGACCAGGAGGCTGCGGAACACCGTGGAGGCCACTGGGGGCTGCTGCCATACCCCTCGGCAGGCGGACGACCCTCCCGAGTGCCGCGACGGGTGTCCGAGCCAGGTCAGGGTGGACGGCTGGATGCCCGTGGCAGCTGTTCGCGGCGTGTTCAACAAGACCAACCTTCCTTCCGACCCGATTCTGAACGCGGGACGGCCCATTTACGTTGGCCCCGCAATAGCGGCGGGTGCCGATGTCAACGGATCAATGTCGTACATCTGGTACTTGAAGCCGTACGGGAATTGGGTGATCGGTTTTGATTACACGACGACCGTGGCCTGGATCTCCGGGGGGGCCAGGGGCAACAATATTGGGGAGATGACATAGAGGCGGATGTGTCGACCTCGAATAGTTGATGCATCGACGATGCATCGTCGATATCTGGGTGATGCATCGACGATGTGCAGACGATGCATGGGGCGGTCTGCATCGACGATGTATCGACGATATATGGAAGATGTACAGCAGAGGCGCTGAACTGAGGACCACTTTGGGCTCAGGAAGGGCTCTGGTTTTCGGACCGTTCCTTCCGTTTGTGCCGTGAACCTGTTTGTGGCCTAGGCCCGCCGCGGCCAGAAAAGCCCCTTCGTTCCTCAATCGGCGTTCCTTCTGGCAGCGCGTCGACTGTATCGGTCATCTGATGTCGATGCAGCCCCGCTATCGATGCATCGTCGCTGTCACGGTGATGCATCGACGATGTAAAGACGATGCCATGGGGCGATCTGCATCGACGACGTATCGACGATGCCAGGGGCGATGCTTCGGTCCTTCGAGGTCGATGCTCCTGGAGGAGGAGGGCGAGGAGGAGGAGGAGGAGGATGGCGATGGGAGGAGGAGGAGGAGGGCGGTGGGAGGAGGAGGCGGAGGAGGAGGATGAGGAGGAGAACGAGGAGGAGGAGGACCAGCCTGCCCAACCTGCCCTACCCGCACCGATGCCGGCCCCGGCCAGCCAGGTGGCTCCCTGGGATCGGTGGCAGTGCGCCCCCCACGCGGCCAGGAATCAGGGCGCGCGTCCACCGGTCTCGTGGGCCCAGGGGCAGGAGGAGCGGATCGGATGTTCTGGTGGCGATGGTGGCGATGCTGATGCTGCTGATGATGCTGCTGATGATGATGATGACGATGCTGCTTATGATGATGCTGATGATAAGGATCATACTGATTCTGATGATGATGATGGAGATGCTGATGCTGCTGCTGCTGATGAGGATGATGATGATGATGATGCTGCCGATGCTGCCGATGCTGCTGCTGACGATGAGGATGATGACGGTGATGATGCTGCTGATGATGATGATGATGAGGATGCTGATGCTGCTGATGATGACGATGCTGATGATGATGATGATGGTGGTGGTGGTGGTGGGTGCGGTGGGGAATCTGATGATGATGACGACGATCCTACTGATGATGATGATGATGATGATGATGACGATGATTGTGATGACTATCATTCTGACGAGTCTGATGATGATGCTGCTGATGATGATTTCGATGATGATGACGACGATGATAACGCTGATGATGCTGCTGATGATGATGGTGATGATGGTGATGATGATGATGATGATGATGATGATGATGCTGATGATTATGTTTTCGCTGTGGATGATGGTGCTGCTGCTGACAATGACGACGAAGATACGTGTGATACACATGTTGATGGTAATGCTGCTGATGCCGATGAAGCTGCTGCTACCGCTGCTGATGATGATGTTGATGACTTGATTGTAAGTATGAGTCTAATGATGATGACGATGCCGATGACGATGTTGATGATTATAATGATGATGACGACAATGATGCTGATGATGATGCTGATGATGATGGTGATGCTGCTGATGCTTCCGATGCTGATGCTGATCATGATGAGGAGGAGGAGGAAGAGGAGGAGGAGACGGGGGATGATAATGATGATGATGATGATGCTGCTGATGCTGATGATGATGAGGAGGAGGCGGAGGAGGAGGAGGAGGAGGAGGAGGAGGAAGAGGAGGAGAAGGAGGAGGAGGAGGAGGGGATGATGATGATGATGATGATTATGATGAGGATGATGATGATGCTGCTGCTGCTGATGATGATGATGCTGATGACGATGATGCTGATGATGGCGATGATGCTGAGGACGATGGTGGTGATGATGATGGTGAGGATGATAGTAATGATGATGCTGATAATGGTGATGGTGATGATGGTGATGATGATGATGATGATGATGATGATGATGATGATGATGATGAGTCTGATGCTGATGGTGATGATGCTGGTGATGGTGATGATGAGGATGATTATGATGATGGTGATGATGATTCTGATGCTGATGGTGCTGATGATGACGCTGATGATGATGAGGGGGAGGATAATAATGATGATGATGATGATGATGCTGATGAGGATGACGATGACGATGACGATGACGATGATGATGATGATGATGATGATGATGATGATGATGATGATGATGATGATGATGATGATGATGAGGATGAGGATGATTCTGACGATGATGATGATGATGATGATGGTGATGATGGTTAGGCTGATGATGATGATGATGATGATGACGGTGATGATGATGATGATGATGATGATGATGATGATGATGATGATGATGATGATGATGCTGCTGCTGCTGATGCTGCTGATGCTGCTGATGATGCTGATGATGATGATGATGATGATGCTGATGATGATGATGATGATGATGATGATGATGATGATGATGATGATGATGATGAGATGGTTTGTTGCGTCACTGTGTGTATGCCATTGTTCGTCGACTCCGCCGGACCAGGCTTAGCCGCTGAAAGATGTTGCTGCTGCTGTCGATGGTGCTCCACGTTTCGGCACTGCCGCAGCATACCAAAGAGAGATAGCGCGCGTCCTCTTCAGGACCCCGCACTGCGCACCGCCGCTCCGGAGCCATGAACGCGCCAGCGGGCGGGGCCGACGTGAGCGCCCAGATGATGATGAACCCACCTCAAAGGAGGGGCGCTCAGACCCACTCGCGCGTCGACGACCAGCCTCTCGAGCAGCCTCCGCGAGCAGCCTCTCGAAGAAGGCCTCCAGGGGGCTCCGCTTGAAGAAGGCCTCCACGAGCAGCCCCGCGACACATGCCTCTACAAGCAACCGCATGAAGAAGGCCACCACGGGCGCTTGTGCGAAGACGACCACAACGACCGCCCACGCGAAAAAAACTCCACGAGCACATGCATGAAGAAGACCTCCACGAGCACCATCGCGAAGATTACCTCCGCGAGCACCCCACCAAAGAAAGCCTCCACGAGCACCTGCACGAGGAAGACACCGCCAGCACCCGCGCGAAGAAACCCTCCACCACCTAGCGTTATGAAGAACACCTGCGTGAACACCCACGAAGAATGCCCCCGCCAGCGCCCGCTTGGAAAGGTCCACAAGCACCCGCCCGACGAAAACCTCCGCGAGCATGCCCGTGAAAAAGGCATCCAAAGATTGCCCGCGCTGCGAAGACCCTCGCGAACGCCCGCGTGAGGCTGGCTTCCGCCACCACCCGCGCGCAGAAGAAGGCCTCCACGAACACCCGCGCAGTGAAGACTTCCACGTGCACCCGCGCAAAGAATACCTTCACCAACGCTCCCGCGAATACAGCCCCACTGGCGCCCGCGAGGAGAGGCCCGCGAGCGCGCCCCCGACGAGGACCTCCGCCAGCGTCCTTCGGAAGAAAAGGTCTCGACGAGTGCCCGCGCGAAGGCCCTCGCGAGCACCCGCGCAGGGAAGACTTCCGCCGGCACCCGCGCGAAGAACGTGTCGTCACGGCGGCGGCGCGGCGGCAACAGCGTCCCAGCGGGGCCCCGGACGTCGCGGCGTCGCGGGGCGTCGCGGCGGCGTCGATTCCACGAGTACCATCGCGATGAAGACCTGCACGGACGCCCTCGCGAATAATACATTCGCGAACGCTCCCGCGAAGAAGGCCCCCACCTCCTCCCGCGTGGGTAATCATGCGAGCACCCCTCCGATGAAGACCTCCGCGATCATCCCCGCGCAGAAGGCCTCAACGATCGCCCGCGCAAAGAAGAAAGCCCTCATGAGCGCCCGCACCAGGAAGACTACCGCCAGCACCCACGCGAGGAAGGCCTCCGCGAACACTGGCGCGCTGAAGGCCTCTGCGAACACCCTCACGAAGAAGGCCTCCCCGAGTGCGAGCACCGCGCCGCCGAGGATGGGCCCGAATGCGCCGTGGAACACAAACGTAGCAGTAGCACGGGAAGCTGGTGATGGCAACGCGCATGCAGAATTGACCGACCACAACGTGCCTGCGAGGTGGCTTCTCCGCCCAATGGCCGCCAACCGCGCCTAAATAATGTAGGAGAACAGAAAGGGGTAGACGGAGACTGGAACCACGAACGCGCTTCGTAGAACAGGTTTGGACGCAACCCGTAGCCTTCCGAGCCATGGGCCACGGGCTGGCGGCAGGGGGCAGAATGCCGGGCGCCACAACTCCCCGACGAAAGGCCTGGATTCCAGATGGCGGAAACGCTCGGTGACCCGTCCGTCCGCACCCCTCAACGGTGCGTCCGTGGAAGACGTAGAAAAAGAGGGCCCGGACCTCCGCCGTTCCCGTTGTCCCAAAGGGACTGGAGTGACGAGGGGTAGCGATGTGGTTTGTCGCGTCCCTGCGTATACGCCGCAGTCCGTCGACTCCGTCTGACCAGGCGTCGCCGCTGAAACACGTTGCTGCCGCTCTCGATGGTGCTCCACGTTTCGGCACTGCCGCAGCATGCCAGGGAACGATGGCGCGCGTCCTCTTCAGGACCCCTGCACTGCGCACCGCCGCTCTGGAAACATGCGTGCGCCAGCGAGCGGGGCCGACGTGAGCGCTTAGACGACGACGATGATGATGCTGCTGATGATGATGGCGATGATGATGGTGGTGCTGATGATGATGATGATGATGATGATGATGATGATGATCATGATGGGGGTATCACAATCGTGAGGATGATGCTGATGACGACGATGGTGACGATGGCGATGGTCATGCTGAACACATCGATGATGATGATGATGATGATGATGATGATGATGATGATGATGATGATGGTGGTGGTAACGATGATTCTGTTGATTATGATGCTGCTGCTGCTGATGATGATGATGATGATGATGATGCTGCTGCTGATGATGATGATGATGATGATGATGATGATGATGATGATGATGCTGCTGCTGATGCTGTTGATGATGGTTGATGATGATGATGATGATGATGATGATGATGATGATGATGATGATGATGATGATGATGATGATGATGATGATGATGATGATGATGATGATGATGATGATGATGATGATGATGATGATGATGATGATGATGAGGGGGAGGAGGAGGGAGGAGGAGGAGGAGGAGGAGGAGGAGGAGGAGGAGGAGGAGGAGGAGGAAAAGGAGCAGGAGGAGGAGGAAGAACAGGAGGAAAAGGAACATCAGGGGAAGGACGAGGGGGAGGAGGGAGGAGGGGGCGGAGGACGACGAGGCTGGGGCTGGCCAGGCCGGGTTCGGTGCGCGCAGGGGGCAGTCGGCGTCCGCCCAGGACCTACTCGCACGAGCGCGCGTCGTGCCCCTCGGACACCAGCGTGTGGAAGAGCGTGCAGGCGAGGAAGGTGCCCCGCGGTCGTTGAAAGCAGGTATTTCTAGACTCCCAGATTCCAATCTGCTTCTTCGATGCTCGTTTTGGGGACCTTCCTGGGGCCCACCTAATGGATCTGTTCGACTTAGGTTCGACTCAAGTTCGACTCAGGTTCGACTCAGGTTCGACTCAGATTCGACTCAGGTTCGACTCAGGTTCGACTCATGTTCGACGCACGAGTGGAGCGAGTGGCTCCAGGAAGGTCCCCAGAATGAGCATCTAATGCTTCAGGCGCCTTCCTGCTTCCATCCTCGAGCGGTTCTCCCTTCTCATTCCTCATCTAGGGGGCGGGCGGAAGCCCAATCTACTACTTCCAACGCCTTCCTACTTCATGTCTGCCCCCGCTTCTTCCGACCGACGGGTATCTCGGAGGCGCAGACGCGCCTCGAGAAATCCGGCCGCCGCCGCTGCCGCCGCCGCTGTCGCCGCCGACACCGACACCGACACCGTCGTCGTCGTCGTCGTCGTCGTCGTCGTCGTCGTCGTCGTCGTCGTCGTCGTCGTCGTCGTCGTCGTCGTCGTCGTCGTCGTCGTCTCGGAGTTTTTTCGGGGCTCTTCAGAAATTATAGCCATCGCGGCTGGACGTGGCCTTCGAAAGAGGTCCCAGGATTGGCCCCAGAGGGGGTCCCAGGGACTTGTTTGGTGTCGAGCCTGGCTGGGCGCGCCCCGAGGAGCCGCCTGCACCAGTGCCGCGGTTGCCCACACGTCCCGGGCCCGGAAGAGGTCAGCGGTGGGAGCTCTGTGGCTCCGGCTGACGCGCGCTCTCCCCCAGCTTCGCTCCTTCACCGCGTGGGCCCGAGGCCTGAGGGGGGAAGCGCCGGCTCGTGCGCGGCGGAAGAGGTGCGGGCCTTCTCGCGTGGGCCCGGAGCGCCTCGCTGGAGTCCGGAGGGCTGTCGAGGGCGTCCCGACGGCTCCAAAGGCCTTCCCCGAGGACTCACAAGAGAGCGCCAGGACCTCGGCGCCTACGACACATCCGATCGTTGAAGCCGTCCAGATAGTTCCATCGGTCTGGATGGCTCTTTTCGTTAAGCCCTCTGGAGGGCCAGGGCCTGTGGGCCTGGTCCAGCACCCGCAGAGAGCGGGCCCCGCTAGGGGGTCCACCCCAGCCAGGTTTCTCAGGAGCCGCGCCCGGCTGTGGTGACGGGGGCTGCAAAGTGCGATCGAGAGCCTCGAGGGTTGTGGAAATCGATTAAATTGAGAGAAGAATGCTGCCAAAATAACTTCCAGATGTCTAAAACATGTTTCAAACATGTTTTAACTATGTAAAGACATGTCCGAAACATTTTTAGAACATGTTTTACACATTTTAAACACATCTTCATTTCAATGATAGGATTGTTAGAGTGTCCATTGTCGTGGCATCCGCAACTCGAGGGCGGTGGCGACAGCGGCGGTCGCAGAGAAACCGTGCATCTGTGTTTGCCTATGGCGGGTCGGCTCCTGGGGTGCTCCTGGTTTGCCTGTCGACTCTTTGCACCGCATGGCGGGTGAGGCTGCGTGGATGGTGTCGCGGTCGGCTGTTTGCGGTGGAAAAGACGAAGCCATGCATTTGGAGGGCCCTCTGGGTTTCAGCATGGCAGGTCGGCTCTTGGGGTGTTTCCGGTTTGCCTGTCGACTCTTCGCGCCGCATGGCGGATGAGGCTGCGTGGGTGGTGTGGCGGTCGGCTGTTTGCGGTGGAAAAGACGAAGGCATGCATCTGGAGGGCCCTCTGGGTTTCAGCGTCTGGGCCTCCCCGTGGAAGCTTTTCCTGGGCGGCTCGCCCCGCCCGTCCCCGCCCCCCTGCAGTTGAGAAGGAGAGACTGGGGCAGACCGGAGGGGAGGAATATATATATATATATATATATATATATATATATACATACACATCTATACATATAATATTATAATATATATATATATCCTCCTCCTCCTCCTCCTCTCCTCCTCCTCCTCCTCCTCCTCCTCCTCCTCCTCCTCCTCCTCCTCCTCCTTCCCCCCCCCTCCTCCTCCGCCTCCTCCTCCTCTCCTCCTCAGTCTCCTCCTCCTCCTCCTCCTCCTCAGTCTCCCCCTCCTCCTCCTCCTCCTCCTCCTCCTCCTCCTCCTCCTCCCACCGTTGCGAAGCATGTTTGGTCTGCTGCAATCCTGGGCCTCCAGGGGCCATTCTCGGGCCCAGGACTGGACAACGACGGACGGTGTCGAGCTGTCTAGGGGCCCATGCTTCGAAGAGATGAGCCGCCAGATGTCTGAGGAGGAGGAGGATGAGGATATGGAGGAGGAGGAGGAGGAGGAGGAGGAGGAGGAGGAGGAGGAGGAGCGTGCGGAGGAGGAGGAGGTGGAGGAGGAGGAGGAGGAGGAGGAGGAGGAGGCGGAGGAGGAGGAGGAGGAGGAGGAGGAGGAGGTCCCCAGAGTGGCTGAGGCCTCCGGATCTGCCCAGAAGCCTTCTGAGATCTCCGCGGGGATCTTAAATGCCCCAACATACACATATATATATATACACATACACATACATAAATATATTCACATATAACCAAACGCTGAAAACTATTCGATCAGGGTGATGAGGGACGGGGCTGCCTAGGGGAGTGGGGGCGAGGCATTGCCGGGCCCAGCCCTTGCCTTTGGACCCTGCGAGGTCGTGAACACGACGGTGTCCGTCGTCCCCGACAGCCCCATCACGGCGGACATGGTGCTCGACTTGAAGTCTAGGTCTGGAGATCCAGGCCGCTCAAATGGGCCTAGAGTAAACGGATCGGAGGATCGCGCCGCGTCGCCGACGTTTTGGCAGTGCGCGAGGCGCCGCGGTCCGGGGCCCGACCTTCTCCGTCCGGACGCTGCCGCTGTGTCGCCGGTGCATCGGCGACGCGGCGCGATCCTGCGGCCCCATCTGGTCCCGCCCCAGTTGGGCGGCCTGCAGGAGCATGGATGAAGTAGGCCAGCGTCACGCGCCCCAGTGAGCAGTGGTCCTTGCCGTGGTGCTGTGTGTCGCAGATTCGGGTCGGAGGGGCGGATGGTGCCGACGGAGTCGAGCGCGCAGACGGGGGCCTGCCGCCAGTCCGAGCCGCGGCCTGTTCTCGCGGCCGTGGATTTAAGTCGGGCCTGTCCTCCTACAGGCCGATTTTGGACCAAAAATTAAACATAGTCGAAACATATTCTAAAATGCTGAAGAGGTCAACGAATCGTCCCCATATTTCCCTACCTAGGCTCTGCCTAGAAGGGTTCTTACTT